GTGATGTAGGCTAGAGGTCACTGAGTGTCCCCCTCAGTGGGTCTCCACATTAGCTTTAGCTTTTTTTTAATTTAAAATATTTATTCTTTTTTATGTAATGTGTGTGTGTTTGACCTGCCGCATGTATATCTATCTGTGCAGCACGTGTGTGCAGTGTTCACAGAAACCAGAAAAGGGTGCTGGGATCCCCTAGAGCTGAACTTTCCAGCTATTGTGAGCCACCATGTGGGTGCTGGGAAGAGTGATCATTGTTCTTAATCACGGAGGCATGTCTCCAGCCCCCTACTTTAGTTTCTGAGAAGTGTTCTTCCACTAAACCTGAAGTTTGCTGTTTTGGCCAGACTGACCCCCTTTCTGGTGGTGGAGTTACAGATGTGAGCTATCACACCCAGCTGTTATGTGGGTTGTGGGGATCTAGAACCAGGTCCTCAGGCTTGCACAAGCCCTGACCCATGGAGCCATACCCAAGTCCCTGCCCTGGCTTCCTCCCGAGTCCTGGGGTTATAGGTACAGGCCACCATGACTGGTTTATAGCTAAGCTACAAGGTCTTTGTGAGATAATTGATCCATACTTGTTGCACAAATAAATCCCCATTTTCCAGCGACCTTGTGCTGATGATACTGGAGGTGATCATGAATTACTTGAAAGCATTCTCAGACTTAGTTACTTTAATTTTCCTTTAACCTTACTGCAAACAAAGTGACTCCATTTTGTATACCATTAGTGTGATGGTCAAGTTTCCTTGCCAACTTGGCTGGGAGTGTCTGTGTTTCCACTATGAGTTAGCGGAAGAGGGAAGACCCACTGTGAATGTGCGTGGGCCGTTTCATGGGCTGAAGGGATCCTGAGCTGAATAAAAAGGAGAAAATGAGCTAAGCCCCACCATTCATCTCTCTCTGCTTCTGACTAAGGATGCATTATGACCAGTCACTTCATTCTCACACTGCTGTGTAGCCCTGCAATGATAGACTCTATCCTCTCAGCTCATGCTTCCTGCTCACACTGCTATATGACGAACTGTATCCCCTTCATGTTCACACTGCCGTGCATTCCCACTATGATAGACTGTATCCGCTTCATGTTCACACTGCTGTGTATCCCCACTATGATGGACTGTATCCCCTCAGCTCATGCTTCATGCTCACACTGCTATATGACAGACGGTATCCCCTTCATGGTCACACTTCTGTGCATCCCCGCTATGATAGACTGTATCCCCTTCATGCTCACACTGCCATGCATCCCCGCTATGAGAAACTGTATTCCCTTCATACATCTCCACTATGATAGACTGTATCCTTTTCATGCTCACACTGCCATACATTCCCTCAATGATGGACTGTATCCCCTTCATGCATGCCCACTATGATGGACTGTATCCCCTTCATGCATGCCCACTATGATGGACTGTATCCCCTTGTGAGCCAAAACAAACCATTTTCTGAGGGTGTGTACATAGTATGTATGCTATGTTTGTGTTATATATACACATGAGGATAGTGTGCACGCACACAGAGACCAGAGGAAGACTTTGGGTGTCCTCCTCTGTCCACTTTATTGCCTGGACACAGAAACTCTCATTGAACCGGAAGCTCACCATTTTGGTTAGGCTGCACGGTCAGTGAGCTCTCAGGCTCTGCTTGTCTCTGTTCCTCCATGCTGGGTTACAAGCACACTCAGCCATGTCTGGAATCTTGTGCTTCTGCTGGGGATTCAAACTCAGGTCCCCATGCTTGCACAGAAAGAGTTCTCATTGCTGAGCTGTCTCCCAAGGCTTCCTTCATTTCTTTTTCTTTTTTTTTTTTGTTTTTGTTTTTTTGGGAACAGAATTTTATTTTTTTTAACTTTCTTTTTGTTTTATTGAGAAAAAAACAATTTCCGCCTCCTCCCAGCCTCCCACTCCTCCCCCCCAATCCTCTCCCCGTTCCCCCACTCCTCTCCCTCTCCCCTTCCTTCATTTCTTAAGCTGCTTTTTCATTTCTTATTTTCTGTGCATTGATATTTTGCCTGCATTTATGTCTGTGTGAGGGTGCCGGATCCCCTGGAACTGGAGTTACAGTTACAGTTGTGAGCTGCCATGTGGGTGCTGGGAATTGAACCTGGGTCCTCTGGAAGAGCAGTCAGTGCTCATAACCACTGAGCCATCTCCTCTCCAGCCGCTCTTAAGTTGCTTTTGTCTGGTGTTTTGTCATAGCAACAGAAAAGCAGCTCACAGTTAGCAAGATGTGAATGTGGCTGCTGAAGACCCAGGTACGGCAGGGTTGTAGATCCGGCCGTTAGTCGGCCCAGCACTTATCAGAAGTTGCTTACTCAATGTCCTTGTGTGTGTGTGTGCGTGTGTGTGTGTGTGTGTGCGCGTGCGTGTTTGCTGTCTCTTCCTCCAACATTCACGGAAACTGGGAGTGACTGTCTTGCTGGAGCAGCTAATGTGTTTGAACATCCTCAGCTGCTGGAAACATGACTTCTTGTCATGCTCTTTGCTCTTCCCTTGTGGGGCCACACTGAATGTCATCTTCTATAAAACAGGTCTTATCGTGTCCCAGCCACGTGGCCAAATAGCTAGAGTGCTCTATTTCCTTCTGTGAAAAGGGTAGGCATTGGAGAGTGGGACCTAGGTTTTGAAATCTTGATCTACTGATCTTGGGACGTTACCTAACCGTCTCCAGCTCTTTCTCTGTCATAGTGCCTAGCAGTTGATGCCAGTCATGATCATCATGAGCTTTTGCTGTTATTTACTTTTATCCTGTCCATTAGATTTTACGCATTGACACTGTGTGTGGAGATACGGGTGCCGTGAGAGACAAACCTGAGGCAAGCAATCCCCACCTTAAGGAGTCAGCTGCATGCCCTTGCAAAAGGATCAGGCCAGCTGGCCTTCTTGACCTTCATGGGGGGTTGGGAGGGTGTCCCTTGACCCTCACCTGAGCATCCAGCCTATCCCTGTCACCTGCTGCCTGCAACTGTGCCTTAACTGTGTGAGGCCTTATGGGGGGCTAGGCTTTGTGGCGCTGAGGGGACGGAGTCTCCATCCACGTGACTACTGGGTAAAGGCTTCTCAGGGGCAGCCTGTTGAGGAGAGCAGCACCCACACCCCTGTAGGTGACCCCTCACCTATGCTCTGCAAAGAAGCCCAATAAACTTGTTGGCTCCCCAGAGAGAACTCAGGCAGGACTGCGCCTCCATTTGTCTTTGAGGCCTGCAGAGGAAGGACAGATGTGTGCCAAAGTGCACTGGCAGTCAGATGACAACCTTCAGGAGTCCGTGCTCACCTTCCGCCTGGTCCAGGCAGCTGCTCCTTTCAGGAGATCTCTGCCGGGCATCTCACCACAGGAGAGCTGGGATTACGGATGTGTCTCACACAGCTGGCCTTTTCATGTGCGTCCTCGGGAGGCAAATCCCGTGTTTTTGCAGATGGTGCTATTTACCCACTAAACTGTGGCCTGAGCCTTGTTGCATGGTTTTAAGTCGAAAACACTCTGTCTGATTTTCCAGCACTTGAATCCCTGAGTTAGTGTGTTTACAGTTGTATGGCTCAGTTCTAAGCAGGCTACCAATCAACCCTAAGTGGGCTAAGAGAAAGTTCAATTCTTTCTCTTAATGCTATCTCAATCAAAGGAGCTTTAGAATTATTTAATACTGATTTGTTTATTTTGTATGCTTTCGTGTGCACTTGACTGCGTACACACACTCCAAGGTACATACGCAGAGGTCAGGAAACAACCTGCAGGAGTGGGTTCTGGGGATCCAGCTCAGGTCATCAGCTGTGGTAACAAGTGCCACTACCCGCTGGGCAATCTGACAGCTCCCAAATGAGCTCGATGCAAGCTGCACTGGATCACAGTGTCATGGGAAGCCGGAACTCTACCCAAGTTTTCTCTCCTGCCACATCCCCCACATCTCCTGCCACAGTTAGCTTTTAAATTATTTTCATTTTTAACCAGTCATGATTTAATCACAGCCCTCAAGTGTATTTCTGTAAACTCAAGGCCAGCCTGGTCTATATAGCGAGCTCATGACTAGCCAAGGCTACACAGCATATGTGTGTGTGTGTGTGTGTGTGTGTGCGCGCGCGCGTGCGCACTTGTGCCACGGAGCATATACGTGGAGGTCGGGGAACAACTTTGGAGTCTCCTTTCACCTTGTTCAGGTCAGGTAGATCTCTGTTTCTGCCATGCTTTGTAGCCCAGGCTAGCCGGCTCCTATCTCCACCTCCATTGCAGGGATTACGGCTACATGCTACCACATCCTACTTTTTGTGGGTTCCAAGAATCAAAATCAGGCCTTGGGCTTGTTCAGCAAGCGCTTTTACCCACTGAACCAATTTCATTGGCTATTAGGTTTAATATCTTATTTCTAGGAGAGTCAAGGTGGTACGTGCCTGTATTCTACACTCTGGGGGAAGGCGGGGGGACAGGAGGACAAGGAGTTCAGGTCCTTCTCAGTACATGAGGTGTACAAAGCCAACCCCAGCCACCTGTAGGAGACCTTGTCTCAAAACAATTTTTTTCTAGTGTTTTAAAGTTTGTTTCTTGCTTTTTGAAAGACAGGGTCTAACTCTGTAGTCCAGACTAGCCTCAAACTCACAATCCTCCTGTCTCAGCCTCAGCAGCTCTGGGCATGTGGAGTATTAATTGCACTGGGGACAAAGGTCACTGGGGTCCTGGTGGAGAAAGGAGTTAGGCAGGAGGGATCAGGAAGGGACAGAGGGCACAGGGCAGGGAAGGGCCTGCTGAGATCTAGAGTCCGAGGGCAGGGGGTGGGGCTTGATACAAGAGAACGATGGGGTTCTGGGGAGGACAGAATGCATTCTAAATTTGCTGATGGATCAGCAGCCCCAGGTCGGACCCACCCACATCCAGGAGGAAGTCCAACTTCCCCAGCCATTGGGCTAAACAGGATCCCACCAGCCTCCTGCCTCCCTTTGCCCTCAGAATGCCAACATTTGAAAGTGTTGGGGGGGGGGCGCTGCATCCCTTCTCCCTCTGCTCTGGTACTGGGTCCGCCATCCCCCCTTCCCTGGGTCATAGAGACCAGTGCCAAAAGCTGTGAGCATTTGCGTTAGGCGGCGGCCATCATCTTTATTTTCAACCTGCCAGACCAGACCAGACTGGGTTTTCTGTCCTCCCGTGCAGGTCAGTGTCTACGTCAGACTGAGGGTACCAAGACACACCCTAGCCTGGGTGGGAGGACACTGGGGACAGACGTGCAACCCAGACCCCAGTGTAACAGTGGCGACAAGGCCAAAACGCGAAAATCAACAAAGCACACTTACAAAGGGACAGCTCGAAGGGATATAGAGAGGTGAAGCTCACCAGAGATGCAGCCCCTGTCCTCCCCGCCAGTCCCTCCCATGGCGGGGCTTTTCTTTTCTTCCCACCGGTTTCCCCCAATCGTTTTTCAATGGCTTCTTTGCAGCATCACCAGCCAGACCACTGTCTCTGGGTGGTGTTTCTAAGCTTGAAGGAAGATTACTTTTCAAAATGCCCTCCTATTAGACACCCCGCTTCTGAGGACCTGGCCCCACTTATTTTAGGGCTGTAGCCATTTCTTCTTGTATCTTGTAGCAGGAAAATCCAGACAAGCAGTTATGCCAAGCTGAGAGAGTAGTGGACCGTGGTTGGGGAATGTCTTTGTTTTTTATTTTTTATCTTTCACCAAGTTCCAGGCGCTCTGCTAGCCAGCCCAACTTCTGGGTGATCAGAGACTGGGGAAGGTTCGGAGGACTCTCTACTCAGTGATGAAATCGGAGCTCGGCACCCCCTCTGTTTGACTCCCACCCCTGTCCATCCTGGTCCCCTCCACTGTCTCTTTGGCTCCTCTGCCCAACACCGAGGAGCCGGGTTTGCGGAACACTAGCAAACTTTTCCCGAAAGCTCTGCGCACCACGGAGGAAGAAAAATAGAAGAGCAGCGGGTCCAGGCTGGCATTGAGGGAGCTGAATACCACAGCCTCCACTCGCCACGGAGGGCTCTGCCGCAGGTAGAACCCCACCAAGTGGGACACATTGTAAGGTCCGAAGCACAGCAGAAAATTAAGAAGCGTCACCACAGCCAGGCCGACCGCCCTGCGTCTCCTCTGAGCCCCTACATGGGGCTGCGTGAGCATGATCCACACGAAGCGCCAGTAGCAGAAGATGGTGACTGCCATGGGGACGAAGAATAGGACCAGGCACAGCTCCAGCCTCACAGGCAGCACCACATCCAGTTGCTCTTGGGTGAAGTTCTCATAGCACGTTATTTGGTTCTCAGTGCCCACAGGCTCGGTTGAGTTCAGGTACTGAACGATGATGACGATGGTGCAGTGGCCGAAGGACATGATCCAGGCCACCAGAGCGGCGATCACTCCGTACAGGGGCCGGCGGGATAGCTTGTACTGCACGGGGAAGGCCACTCCCAGGTAGCGTTCCATGCTGATGCCCGCCAGCAGCCACGTGCTGCAGTAGATGCTGCTGTAGAAGCCGAAGCCCGTGAGCGCGCACACGATCTTCGGCAGGTACCAGCGAAAGTTAGACGCTGCTTCTACGATCCGGAAGGGCAGTAGCAGCAAAAGGAGTAAGTCCGCCAGGGTCAGATTCAGCAGGAGGATGTGCACGGGAGCAGGCTGGGGCTGGCGGACCCGGCTCACGAAGGCCCTCAGGGCCAGCAGGTTGGCAGGGAGCCCAGTGAGGAAGATGAGGATGTAGGCCGTGAGGATCAAGGAGCTGTGCCAGTCCGGGATCATTCTGGAAGATGGAAAAGGGATCAGGAACTCGCCGCCCCTTCACTCACAGCCTGCAGACCCTCTTTTCCTCTGGTTCAGTCTGTTCACATCCTCCCTGGTTCCCAGGCCAAAGCGGTCTGCTCCACACCACCACTTGCCTGAGCCACCTGCCAGAACTGCCCAGAGCAATTATTGACTTAGCCTTGGGCGGGATATTAAGCTGCAGTTATTACGTTTGCCATCCTGTGTCTCTGGGGGAGACCAACTTGACTTGCCACGGGAATTCCCCCTCTGCTTTCCCCGGGCCCTTTTCCTATTTAGCTTCACAGATAATAGGAAGTGGCGGTGATCAGATCCCTTTCTCACAGCTGGCTGTGGCTGGGAGCCAAAGCCTGGTGGCAAAACCTGGTGGAAGAAGAAGACATGCACAGAAACTGGGGAAGGACAGGAAGGTGGGGGAACAAGAAACTTCCAGAAGGTATGCTCTGCCAAGCCTGGACTGGCTGCCCTCAGCTCCAGGTGCCCAGCCCTCTGTCCCGCCTCCCAGCAACTTACCTCCTTGGGACCACTCCAGGGTCTCTTTCACCTGGTTCTCCTCTGGTCCAGTGCTGTGGATCCTACTAAAAACGGGGGAGCTACTGTAGCCAAGGAGGAAGATTGAGACAGCACGTTGCTCTGTGACCTGTTCCCCCAAATTTTAGACACACATTCATGGGAGCCCAGCGAGCACAGGTGGCCCCTGAGCCTGGTGTGTCCGCTGGTGTCCTGCTGGACGCCACCTCGACACAGGTGGCTCTGTTCCCACTTGGTTGGTAACCCTTGCTAACTCATAGGCCCTTCCCAATTCCTTCTTCATTCCCAGGTCCGAGGTTACTCACCCCGCCTGCCCCCCTCCCCATTGTCTGAGACTGGTGATTACTTTTTGTTCCAACAGACGTCCTCCAGCCTCTTCCTCACCCCACACCTGCTCCTCAAATGCAAGCCCCAGCGTCTGGCCCCTGAGCGCACACCCTAAGCTGGCTTGCCTTGCCTGGCTTCTGATAGAGGGCTGGCTCCTCATGGGGTTTCTGGCGCCAGAGGCCAAGAGAGTTTTAGCAATCGCTGCAGCCCTACAGAAAAGGGCGGGGGAGTTAAAAAGTATAAGGAACCTGGTTGGTGGGAAACTGTTACACCAACATGGGTCACATGGCCAGAGAAGGAGGCAGGTCGGTAATTGAGCAGTATTTCCTCTCAAACCCAAAGCAGGGGGGCCTGCTGCTCTGCTCTCTCCCGGGAGATCTGATCTATTCTGACTTCCACAGATTTTTCTGAGCCTACTTCCTGGCTCTCCCCTCACCACATCCTCGCCGCCACCACCCCCACCCTCAATCGGGTCCTCTCTGTTTTCTGACCGGTATCTTCTGTGGATGAATCTTATTCTCAGAACGAGGCTCTCCGCTCTCCCTGATTCTTCAGTCTACTGACTTCCTTGTGCTCTCCCGTTGTCCACCCCAAGTTTCCTTTGGCCTCAAAGCTGAGACAGATGGGCTTTTCCTAGCTTGTGTCTCATTGTGGTGGACAGAGAGCCAGGCAGCTATGGGCGGAAGTCCAAGTCTCTGCACTGGGAACTCTGGGTCAGATCAAATTTTATGAACTTTCCTTTCCCTTCTGCAAGCGAGCCTGGGAATTCTAACAGCAAAGGACGTCCGTCCAGGGTGATTGGTGAGGCCCTGGTGGTTCCTTCCCTCTGGCCGGTTAGACAGCCTCCGAGGGGATGAGAGCTGTCTGTGGTACTACAGGCCTGAAACCTCAGCTACTCTGCAGGCCTGAGGCAGGAGGATAGACTCAAGGCCAGCCTGGGCTACAGAGGACAGACAGTAAGGCTCACTCAAGGTCATGTGTCCCTGTGGTCACTCTCAGAAGAGTGGTTCTCTATATCCCTTCCTCCTCCTCTTCTCCCCCACCCTTGTTTTCTGTTTCCTCTCTTCTGACCTGCTGAGTCAGCTTCAAGTTAGAAGATCCTAGCAAGTCCTTCAGAGGACTGGAGGGATCAGTGGATAAGAGCATCGGCTGCTCTTGCAGAGGACCTGAGTTCAGTTCCCAGCGCTTATATGGTGACTCACACTGGCTGTAACTCCAGTTCCAGGAGGTCTGACACCCTCTTCTGACCTCCATGGACACTGAACACACATGTTGTGTATACCTATATGCAGACAAAACACTTACAAACATTTTTTAAAAAGTCCTAAAAAACACACATGTGAGCCAGGTGATGGTGGTGCACATCCTTAATCCCAGCACTAGCAAGGCTGAGAAGTGCGGATCTCTGTGAGTTCGAGGCCAGCCTGCTCTACAAGAACTAGTTCCAGGACATCTAGAGCTATTACACAGAGAAACCCTGTCCCCAAACACCAAAAGCCAAAAAACAGGTTGCCGTCTCTTTTGTCCCCCCCCCCCCTCTAGTATTAGAGATGGGTTCTAGGCCATTTGAATGTTTGCCATACCCTCAGTTCTTCACTAATGTAATCTAGGCAGGGGCTCTGCCACTGAGCCAAGCCCCAGCCCCTCACTGGGGATTCTAGGCAGGGGCTCTACCACTGAGCCACATCCCCAGCCCCTCACTGGGGGATTCTAGGCAGAAGCTCGACCACTGAGTCACACCCCAGCCCCTCACTGGGGCATTCTAGGCAGGGGCTCTGCCACTGAGCCACACCCCAGCCCCTCACTGGGGGATTCTAGGCAGGGGCTCTACCACTGAGGTATGTCCCAGTCTCTCACTGCCCTCAGGACAGGAAGCAGGTGTGTGTGTGTGTGTGTGTGTGTGTGTGCAGGGGTGGGGGTGGGAGAGTAGGGGATGGGAAGTGGGGTAGGGTTAAGATGTAAAGCTTCCAAAGAGCTCCCCTTAGTAACTTTAATGCCAGTCAGGCCCAACCTTCTAAAGCCCCCATAGCCTTCAAAACAGTCCTCAGCTGGCCGGAGACTGAGCATTCCGAACAGAAGCCCAGGGGACATTTCAGATTCCAACCGTAGCACAGGAGAAGGAAGGAAGGCCGCGCTGTGGCTCGCTGCTGAGCGTTGCTCTGTGTTAACGATGTTCCATTAATAACCATGGTGATCTAGACTTACTGCAGAATGGAAGCTTATTGGCAAGCAAGCCCGGGGAAGCAGAACAGTCTCTTGTTTTTTGCCTGTCCCCTCATGCCTTCCTCTCTGATGGTACTGTGTCACCTACAGCAAAACCTCGCTTTTAGGCTCATGGAATTTCCAAAGGAAACCCTCAGCCTCATGCTGAGGCATGAGTGGTCAGCCACATTGCCCTCTGATTCCACGGCCCTGGGAATCTTTCCCCGGCATTGGGTGAATGTGATTCAAGTCAAGTTCCCAAAGCAGCTTCCAATCTTACCTCAGAGACACAAAATTAGATGCCACTATTGTGTTAGGCTGCACCCTAGCTGCTGTAATTGGGCAAACCTGAGACATGGCACAATTTCTTTCATAGTCTAGGAACCTGATGGACCATGGTAATGTGACAGAGAAGCCAGGAGCTCTTCCGGCAAAGCAGTAGCCCCCGCATAGCAAGGGTGACAGGGAGTGAACCTTCTGTGCCCATCAGTGCTGGTCTAGTCAAGAGCCCAGGGCCACAGAGACAGGTATTACAGATGCAGAGGTATAACTAGATGGGGTCAGAGATGCTGCCCTGGGTTGGGGTCTCTAGATGCCTGGAGGGGGGAGTAGAAATGAAACACTATGGCACACACCTGTAAATCCCAGTCCTCGGGAGAGTAGGCAGGAGGATCCAGAGTTCGGAGCCAGCCTGGGCTCCATCACAAGACCCTGTCTCTTGAATCAGATGGTTTTCAAAGTTCCTTGATGAATCCTAGAGCAGCCCCTGTTTTCACAGTCCATTCGAAATGAAGCCGGAGCGCTGGCCATCACACCTGTGTTCCCGGGATATTCCACATGTCACATGTCCTATCCCTCGTCCCTCTCCTTTTCCCAACTACCTCTTCCTTCCACTGCCTACATGACCAGAGTCCCCCAGGATTCTGAGGCTTCAGAAGCGCCCTCCAGATCCAGTGAGAGTAAGTGTCTGGAGTACTGCCTGCCTGAGTCAACTCATTCCTCTGCTTAGTCTCCCAAAGACGGATCCTTCCCATGTGACCAGGAACCTTGCTAGCCTCTGGCTGCCCAGGATCCTTGGGTTTCTGTGTGGATGGTGTTTAGGGCAGGGCACGCAGTCTCCTTATCCAAGAACCTGCTTCTATTCCTGTTCACACCTCATGTTCTGTGCCGTGATGCTGTTAACCTATCAGACTGCCGTAGAATGGTGTGTGGGGAGCTGGGGGGGTTGATACTTCTCTGAATTGGCGTGTCTTACTTAGGATTTTTATTGATATGCTAAAACACTGTGACTAGAAGCAACTTGGGGAGGGCTATTTCATTTCACATTTCCAGGAAACTGTCCATCATTCAGGGAGGTAAGGCCTGGAACTCAAGGCAGGAACCTTGAGGCAGGAGCTGAAGCAGAGACCATGGAGGAATGTTGCTTACTGGCTTTTTCTCATAACTTGCTCAGTAGGCTTAATTATACCACCCAGGACCACCAGCTGTGGGGTAGCACCACACACAGTGGGCTGGGCACTCCCACACTAACTATTAATTGAGAAAATACATTATAGATTGCCTACGGGTCTATTGGTGGAGGTGTTTTCTCACCTGAGAGTCCCTCTTCCAAAGGACTCTAGCTGGTGTCAGACTGACATAAAACAACCAATAGAGAAGGACTTTCAGCAGTCCATCCTGTGGAAGGTCAAACCTAAACAGCCATTCATGTGACAGACCGACTCCCTTAGCTCTGTGGCCTAAGTGCTGGGTTCACAAGCATGTTCCATCACAACTGGTATCCTGTGGGCTTTCCTCAGAGGTGCCCAGCTTTCTCTGCTTCCCCAGGACACTGCCAACTACAACTCTCATGTATGGTTCCTAGAAATCCAAGTTCTGGCCAATACCTGGACAGGTAGAGGTTAAGCAGGACTTGAAACAAAAAGAAAACTCAAAGAAGAAGGGGAGGAGACACAGAGTTTTGAAAAATGCAGAGAGGAGC